ACCGCTGAGGGGACCGGAGCACGAGGGGAACGGCCTAGGGGGAGCGCCCTCCCCCCGTCCTCCGCCGACGCCGCGTGTCCCTTTTTAGGGAATTTTTTCCCTCTTGCTGACTCCAGTGCGGGTGGGGCTGAGACCGAGAGGGAGTTCTCCATTTCGCTGGCTCCTGCCCTGCCCCTGGCAGCCTCCTGCCCCCAAATCTCTTCACCCCCTCTCCAGTACGTATAGGTCGCGTAAACAACTCTCTTTCTCCAGCTCTGGGCTCCGCGATCCCCCGGGGGCAGCTCCTTCAGTCTCGTGAGATCGGTGGGGTTAGGGGGAGGGGAAAAAAGAGGGGGTGTCCCGGAGCCCCTTGGCCCGCGTCAGCTCTCCCACCTCGACCTCTCCCTCCCTCTCCCCGCCGCTGGAGCACGAGCTCCAGGGGCCCTGGGTATTTTTAGCGTTGTGACCTGGGCGGCAGCTCTAAGAGCCTTTCCCAGGAATCGGCGTCAGCGCCTCGCTCCTCCGCCGCCAGCCCGCGGCCGCACGGTCTCCCCACACTTCCGTGGCCTTGCCTTGCCCACTCGGGGTTGGGTCCCTCTTCACCTCCGCGGCGCCCGTGGAGCTGGCCAGGGTCTGGGATACGCTGGGTGCAGATGAGATGGGGAAGGCAGTCTGCGGAGGATGACGTCTGATCCTCAAGCTAGAAACTCCCCTGCCTCTGGTGATGGGCTCAGAGCAGAACGCCGGGAAGCAGATGAGTGAATGCACCGGCCTGGGCTGGCCCATAGCCCCAGTGCTCTGGCCGGCTCTCGGCTTCTCAGCCCTAGGGGTCAGGAGGCCTGCTGTGAACTAGACCCAGAACCCACCTTTCCAATTGCTCCTCACTGACTAATGGGGAGATAGTGAGATGTGTCCGAGGAGGGGGATGGATAAAGAGCTGTTGGAGTTCAAAGAAAAGATGGTCGTCTCCTAAATATATTGCTCACCTTCACAAGCAGGGTCTTATATTTGAGGCAGGTAGGTCGATTATGCCATTTTCAGATGGGGAGACTAAGACCAGAAAGGTGATTTCCTTAGGGGCAGAGCCCAGTCTGGAAGTCAGGTCTGTATCTTCAGAGCAAGGGTTTGGGGTGGATGGCACACGCGTGTGTACGTGTGTTTGTGTGTGGAAAGGGAGGGGCGTGGGAGGGGTTGCTTCAGCCTTTGTCTGGGTTTTGAAGGATGGAAAGGGGTGAGCTGCAGCACTGGAGGAAGGGAACCCTCCATCCTAAAATCGCTGTCTCTATCCTATCCTGTCCCTGGCCTTCTGAGGCAAGCAGGGCCTATTAAGGGGAAAAAGTACCTCCTGGATTTGTGCTGAACCAATCCCTCCAACCCTTCTCAGGAGGACATGATATGGAGAGTTGGGCATTGGCCATGTTCCCTGAATACAGAGTATCTCTCTTGCAGTGCCTGGAACTGGCATCCCCTTTGTGGAGCTAGGGCAAGCCCCGCCTCTGCATGAGACTTGGTCTATGGGACACACTTGGTTTCAGGGAAGGGGGAAGAGGTCGCCAAGGGCAGAGGTGTCCAGGCTGGAGCCAGGGGCCCCACTGCTGGGACGCTGGTGCAGTGGGGCTCCCCAAGCCCAGGTCCCCCTTGTCTTGTCTTTCGACTTTGCAGCTGTACTTGTTTTGCTCCTCTACCCCCAGGAGCTGACATGGACCCAAATCCTCGGGCCGCCCTGGAGCGCCAGCAGCTCCGCCTTCGGGAGCGGCAGAAATTCTTCGAGGACATTTTACAGCCAGAGACAGAGTTTGTCTTTCCTCTGTCCCACCTGCATCTCGAGTCACAGAGACGTAAGTCCCAAGTCCTGAGAAGAGGGACTAGGGTAGGGTAGGGAGGATGTCCTGTGGGTCCTGAATCTTGTGGGACCCTCTCCCCTCTAGTTTTCTTGGCTCTCTATGCTTCTAACTTGGGACCTGACATGTAACTATCACTGTCCTGGTGTGCAGCTTGGGTCCTCCTGACTTGCCCACTTCTTGATCCACAGCCCCCATAGGTAGTATCTCATCCATGGAAGTGAATGTGGACACACTGGAGCAAGTAGAACTTATTGATCTTGGGGATCCGGATGGAGCAGATGTGTTCTTGCCTTGCGAAGATCCTCCACCAACCCCCCAGTCGTCTGGTATGCCCCTCTGCTTTGGGGACTTCAGTGCTAGTCAGCCAGAGCCGAATGTCAGGCTCTGAAACGAGGCTGCAAGGCTGGGCTGGGGAAGTATACAAGTAAGGGCTGGAAGTGGCTGTTTCCACCAATGAGACAGCTGCCTGTTCTGATTTTAGGGAAGTTGACCCTGAGGGGGAACTGGGTTACACATCTCCAATCCAAAATTCTGGGAACTGTCTATCTCTTCTTTAATTTTACATTTGTTAAGTTAATATAATTAGTCACTATAATTAAAATAATGTAAAAATGTAATTAAGTAGGTTCCAATACTGTACTAAAGTACTTTACATATATTATCTCAGTCCTTACAATGTCCTGTCAGGGTAGGTGATATAATCCCTATTTTATAAGCAGGAAATTAGGCTCAGAGAAGTACATTGTAGCCAGAAGGTAGATAAACTGGAATTCATGTCTGTCCTCCTCCAAAGCCCATATGCTTAACTTGTAAGACAGATATTCTTTTAATTAAAACTGCTACTATTTATTGATGGCTTACTATGCCAGACATTTTATAAGCATTCTTAGATTTTATTCCCAAAACTCTTTGGGGATGTAGGTCTCCCTTTTATTTTGCAGAAGAGGAGCAGAGTCCTGGAAAGGGAAAGTGACTTGCTCAAAGCCACTCAGCAGCAATAAGTGATGTAGGTGGAACTTGGACTCTTGCCATTGATTGACCTGACTCTAGAACCCAGACATGGTGTAATGAAGTGGAAGGAGCTGGCAGTCAGGAGATGGTGATCTTAATCCTGGCTCTTTGCTGGACTGGCAAAGTCACTTTGGAAAAGTCTCTGCCCCGCTGTGGGCTTTAGTTACTCCTGGCCAGATAATCTTTAAGAGTTCTCCGAAGGCCTGTTTGTGGCCTGACCAGCTTTTCTCTCTGGGCAGGGGTGGACAACCATTTGGAGGAGCTGAGCCTGCCGGTGCCTACATCAGACAGGACCACATCTAGGACCTCCTCCTCCTCCTCTGACTCCTCCACCAACCTGCATAGCCCAAATCCAAGTGATGATGGAGCAGACACGCCCTTGGCACAGTCGGATGAAGAGGAGGAAAGGGGTGATGGAGGGGCAGAGCCTGGAGCCTGCAGCTAGCAGTGGGCCCCCTGCCTACAGACTGACCACGCTGGCTATTCTCCACATGAGACCGTAGGCCCAGCTGGAGCCTTTCGGGAGAAGACCAGACTCTTTACTTGCAGTAGGCACCAGAGGTGGGAAGGATGGTGGGATTGTGTACCTTTCTAAGAATTAACCCTCTCCTGCTTTACTGCTAATATTTTCCTGCTGCAACCCTCCCACCAGTTTTTGGCTTACTCCTGAGATAAGATTTGCAAATGAGGAGAGAGAAGATGAGGTTGGACAAGATGCCACTGCTTTTCTTAGCACTCTTCCCTCCCCCAAACCATCCTGTAGTCTTCTAATAGAGTCTCTCAAACAAGTGTCTCTAGATGGATGTGAACTCCTTAATTCATCAAATGAGGTGGTACTCAAGCCATGCTGCCTCCTTACATCCTTTTTGGAACAGAGCACGGTATAAATAATAAACTAATAATAATATGCCAACAATTCCACTTCATTTTTCACATTGCAAAGATATCAAACCCACTATATGTCTTTAGCTCTCTAACCAATCCCATATTCCTATCACTCATTCATTCAATTTATTCAAGAAATATTTATCGAACACCCACGCTAGGCATCTGGAATACAGTTTTGAGCAAGACAGGCTGTACTGTATACCTGCCTTCATAGAGTTTACTGTTTATGGAGGAGAAAATCAAGTAAATACTATAATTCACGGTGTAATAAATAGCATGAGGAGGAACTACTCTGGTACCAGAAAATAGGGGCATCTTAACCTAGTTTGTATGGTCACTGAAGAGCTGTTTTTAGCTGAAGGACGATTGGGAGTTAGCCAGACACGGCCCATAAGCCAGGCAGAATGAGCAACTTGTGAAGATGTTAAATGGAGAGAGCATATCCTTGAGGAGCTAAAAAACATTGCGTTTGGCTGAATTGTTGGATTTGAGGAAATGAAGGGAGAGGTAAGACTGACAAAGGTCAGGTTGTAAAATCCGTTGAAGCCTGGATCAGGTTTCAGTTTGACAGCTAGTAAAAGATCATGACTTAAGATATAAAGTTATTTCCTCATATAGAAGTAAGAAGTACAGGGCTACATGAAAGCTCCATCGTTACTCAGCACTGGCCTCCTTTTTTGCTGTTTTGCACATGGCTTGCATTCTTAGCGATACCTCACGTCTAAGGTGGCTGTCAAAGCCCCAGCCATTAAGACCTTGAGACTGGCAGAAAGCAGGAGAGGAAATGGGGGATGGGCAAAGAGGACACAGCCAGTCTATTCCCATTTAGGAATAAATTTTTGGAAGTTCTTTTTTTCCCCCAAGATGGAGTCTCGCTCTGTCACCCAGGCTGGAGTGCAATGGCATGATCTCGGCACACTGCAACCTCTGCCTCCCAGGTTCAAGCAATTCTCATGTCTCATCCTCCTGAATAGCTGGGACTACAGGCGCACACCACCACGCCAGGCTAATTTTTGTATTTTTTAGTAGAGATGGGATTTTACCATATTGGTCAAGCTAGTCTCGAACTCCTGACCTCAGGTGATCCACCTACCTTGGCCTCCCAAAGTGCTGGAATTACAGGCGTGAGCCACTGCACCTGGCCAACCATCCTATAGTCTTCCAGTAGAGTCTCTCAAATTAGTGTCTCTAGATAGACGTGAACTCCTTGGCATGTCAAGTGAGGGGGTACTCCAACCATTCTGGCTCCTTACATCCTTTTTGGAACTAGTCACCCAGATGGGGAGTTTCAGAAAGGACCAGGTTTGAGAAGAAGGCCATAAATTTGGTTTGGGACATGTTGAGTTTGAGATGTATTTGAGACATCCAAAAGGATATGTTGAGTAGGCCCTTGCACCCATGTGTGTGTAATTTAGATAAGAGGATTGAGCTGGAAAAAGAAAACAATCAGTTCTCAGTGTATAGGTGGTAAGTGAAGCCATGGGTGCGAATGACGGAGAGAATGCCCAGGGAGAGAATGCTGAATGAAAGGAGAGGTTATAGGACCCAGTCTTAAGGAACACCAAATCATTTCTCACATTTAAAAAAAAAAAAAAAAGTCTACCTCCCTTCATACATTGAACATCACCCATGGGATCAGTGACCTTCGGCCAAAATCCTAAAGCCTTTTGTGCCACCCAAGCCTGAGTGACAAGGCTGCAGTCTTCCTATTGTCCCATCCTGCTCTCACCCCTGCAGGAGGCCAGTGTAAGCATCTGTTCCTAAGTGTTTTTCCTAACACTAGTGAGAAACTTGGGGGAACTCCAGGGAAGTAGGAGTGTCCACCAGCCATTCCCTGTCTCCAGGAAGCTTGTGGATTGAATACCTTCTGTGCAAAAGCCTCTAGGTCCAAGTTAAGATCATCCACTGAGCTGGGCCAGGGCCCAGTCCTCTATTAACTTTTGGGGTTTTTCTGGGTTGCTTATGACCTTGCTGCACACAGAAGACATAATCTCTGTCCTCTTGTGGCTTCTCTCCTTCCTTTAGAGTAGCAAGGTTCTACCTCCTGTCTGACTGTGGCTGAGCCATCTCTTGGGCTGCGGCCCACGATCCCAATAGCTTTGCTGTGCAGGGCTTCTCAACTCCCAGGATCACCCCCCTTCCTTCCATGGCAAATGATGAGAGGCTAGACTGGCTTGGTTGCCATCAACATGTCAATAAATCTCTTAGTAGCCCAGGCCCATAATGCGAAGATTGTGGGGAGCCTGCCTTGGGAGAGAGATTTACAGCCCTCTAGAGAAGTAGAATTGTTTGTGAGCCTATGGGGAGCCTTCAGTTTGGCTGCTATGAGCCCCAGCCCCGCCTGGAAAAGTCTAGTGTCAGCTGAGACCCCAGGACTACTTCCTAGTTGGGACAATAACCTTTTCTCCTGCCAAACCACAGGGGCTTGGCTGACCTTCAGAACCATCATCTCCAGCTGACTGTTTTTTGTTTCTTTGGTTTTTTAAAAAAACTTATGGGGGTTTCAAACGTACAACAAATATGGAAAGAAAAATATCCCGTGTTCTCATCATACAGCTTTAAAAGTAATCAAAATAGTACCAAGATTATATCATCTATCCGCCACATATTTTTAGGGGAAAGACATTTATGATAACTCTTGAAAGAAAAAGTAGATTATAAAACACCATATTCAATATGGTCACTTCTTAAAAAAATGATAATCTTCAGATTCACCATTTGATTATAGTGTTACATTAAAGTTAAACCATGGTTTATGCCAGCCCAGAGCCTAGCTGTCTGGTTTTTGAGGCCACACAGTGCCTTTGGAGATGGGAGGATGATCTGGAGCCAACTCTAAGTCAAGGAGCCCAGCTTTCAGTCTCCAAGCCACAGCGTGGCTTCTGATACTTGCACAGACTTGTCATAGGGTGCACATCCTGACACACTTCGGAAAGGAGGAGCTCAGAAAAAGTTTCCCTAGAAGGCTCACATAGTAGCAACCCCAGGAGTGCACAGAACGTGACACTGAACAGCATAGCAGATTAGAGAAAATACAGAACTGTGCTATGATGTTATCTTGTTTGTTCATTCATTCACACATTACTGAGCACCTACTATGTGATAGTCACCTTGCTTAGGCAACAGAAATACTAAGGTGACCATGAGCTCTTCCAGGAGCAGACATAGCCACAGATAATGGAAACAATGTGATGAGGGATGTAGCAGAAATACACAAAGCCTGTAGACCACTAGAGGAGGAGAAGGTAAGTCTTCACTAGAGGTAGCTGGGTCCTGAATGATGGAGACAGGCAATTTCAAAAGGAAAACACAGAAGTACAAAATAGTCATAATGATGGCAGCTACCTTTAAAAAATTATTATTTTGAGGTTTGACAGTGTAGACTATAGTCCTAGCTCCATCACTCATTGTGATCTTTATTATCTTAGTTTCTGTACTTCTTACCTACTTCTTAATAATAACACTCAAGCAACCCTATCACCTAGGCACTATTATCTACATTTACATATTAGTGCCTAGGTGATAGGGTTGAGTGTTACTATCAAGCACTTGCTACATTCCATATCCTACATGTACATAATTTCCCATCTTAACAACAACCTTCAAAGTAGGTTTCTTCATTATACAAATGAAGAAAAGTGACACTTGGGTTGATCATGCTCACATGGATTAAAGGCTGGCATAGGGATTTGGACTCCTGTCTTTCTGACATCTAAGTCCATGGCCTTCCTAATATTTCATGTCTAATGGGACAAGAACACTGAATGTAGGTAGAATGAAGACATAATGAGATAAAGACATCTTTCTGACATTTCCTTTTTGGAAATGCCTGGTTGGTTGGGGCATATCTTGGCAGACCTACCTGACACCAAATTTGGCTCTTTCTAGAAGTGTGGCCATGAGTTTTACCAAGACACTGTTCATGAAATCCTTCATGACTGTGTTTCCCACAGGGCAGATGGAAAAACTAAAGCATGAATTTAACTTTGGAACTCCTAAAACTCAATAAAAAGACATGCCCATAAACAAAGGGGTGAGGGCACAGAAGACTTCAACAGACTTTTCACAAAAATTAAAATTAAAATTAAATTAAAAATAAATGGCCAATAAGCACATGAACAGATGCTTAACATTTTTAGTTACCGGGGAAATGCAAATGAAAACCACAATGAGCAGCCACTACATACATACCCAAGTGGTCAAAACTAAAAAGTACAAAAAGTTAGAAACTTCAAGTGCCGACCAGAATGTGGAGCAATGGGAACCCATAGTTTATGGAAACATAAAATGATACATTTTGGAGAAAGGTCTGACAGTTTCTTATAAAATTAAACATACACCTGCTCTTTGACCCAGCAATTCCACTCTTAAATACCTGGCCAAAGGATATGAGAAATATATGTCTACAAAGGAACTTGCACAGACAGCAGCCTTGTTCATAATAACCAAAACTTTAAAGCTGCCCATCAACATTTGAATGGATAAATTCATAATACTACAGAGTAATAAAAAGAATTGTGGATACATGCAAGAACATGGATGATTCTCAAAAACATTCTTCCCATGAGAAAAAAAAAAAAAAAAGCCTTACACAGTATACATACTATATGATTTCCTTTATATTTAGTTCTGGAACAGATTGTGGGAAAAAATCAGAATAGTAGTTGCCTCTGGAAGGTGGTAGAGGAGCAGGGATTGACTAGGAAAGGGTATTGGCCAATTTTCTGGGGTTTTAGGAATGTTTGGTATCATGACAGGAGTTCAGGTTACATAGGTGTGTGCATTTGTCAAAACTCAGTCAATGTGTACTTTGGATTTGTGCATTTCACTGTATGTGAATTTTACATCAAAAGAAAAATACAATCAAATACTGAACTCTAGTTAATTATATGCATGCTGAACTACTTAAAGGAAAGTTTACTAATGTCTGCACAAGATGGGATGATGGATTTATAGACAAATATGTGGTAAAGTACAAGTATAGTAAAATGTAAATAGTAGAATCTAGGTCGTGGAAAACAGGTG